TTTAAACTCTACCCCGTGACTAAAATCCGTGGCTAAAGTATTTTAGTCACGGCGGATGGCTACCCGTGTGTAAAATATCACTTTTTGAGACTCAAACCGTGAAAAACTGGCGCTTTAAAGGTGAAAGTAGAAAAATTAAATTGTGTGTTGTTCTGAAGATAAGATTATGATAATTAAATTGAAATAATTAAATGTTTTTTAACATAATGGGATATTCTGTAATTCACTTGACAACAAAACGTTTTTATATCGATACAAATCGAAATCGTCTAGCAATTTTGTTAAATTGTTTCAGAATCAGCTGTCAATCTAAAAAATAGACTACAATGTTGATTATAACAAACATAATATTTTTTAAGTTATTTAATACATAACCTAAAGTCGTAACTTTACGACAAAATTATTTGCTCCAAGAAATGGAAATACATTGAATGATATGTTAAAGATATTTTAAATTTGAGGTTATGCATGCGAAACATTTTGCTTATTAATTAGTTCTCGGAACACGTAGTCACCTTTTGTAAATGTGCGTATCGTAGAAGTTATTAGTCGCATATTAGCTAGTCTAATTCGCACGCGTTGGGGGCGGTTGTCGTTTGTTTAGCGTGGAACGTAATAACGATCCAATGTTATCCTTCGTTTGAGCATTTCAATGAACGCAAATTGGAGCCGAGTCTGTCGCGCAGAATATCTCGACAAATGTGTCAAAGAAGATAAGATAGGCGTCAAAATGTTTATGATGAAAATAATTAAACACACCACAGAAAATGGATATTCTATCTACTTGGCGTTTTACTTATTCGTAGGGCTTTGATTAAATTGTGCTAGTTACAGCAAACAAAAGATTTTTATGGTATATCATTTATTAGTTGTAGTAATTTGTTGTTATCGACAGGATTGACTTGCGGTGCAATTTTAATTAATCCGTACTCATTACATGCTATCAATTTATCAAAGCCAGGGCAAACAAAATTGGCGCTATTGAATCGATAACTGCATACCCACTGCATTGCCAAAGGTTGATTGCCAAAACAAACAAATGTAGGAATATATACGCGGAAGTGACAGGCCACATACTAAATAATCAATCAACTTCTAAACATTCAAAAGACAAACATCCGATTTACTTTCCTCAAAATGTGATTTAACTAGGAGAGTTTTTAAAAAATTAACAAAAAAGTTCTCTGCACTCGTTCAAATAAAAAACTTTTAACGCCAAAGAAAAATTAAAAATTTAATCAAAAAATTTTGGCAAGTTTAGCAGCAAAGTTGTCTAATATCCAATTTTGCGTGGAAATTTAATTATAGATATTTGAAACTTAAATTGCAGTCTTGTGGTAATAATAAACGGCTATTTAAAGTTTGGCGTTCGTTATAGTTTCATCGGCGCTAATATAATGCTATTACACCTAATATTTAACCGAAAATATACTTTATATTTCATCACTAGCCCCTAGTAACTAGTAAGCCACAATTCTTCCTTATCGAAACTGCGCGGATCATTTTGCGTGTTTAACGGCCTGTCCGCCTTTAGATTTGTCTGGCCGCCAAGAGCCAAGCAGAAGGCAAGGCATTGAAGAGGCAAACCGAGCACCCGAAAACGAATTGTGCGCCGATGCGATGCTGCGAGTATTTATATGTGTATAAAAGACGTGTTGAAGGGCATCGTAAAAATGCGGAAAATGGTTGACGCATCCTTTCTCGCCACCCAATCAAGCGCGAAATTCGTAAACACGTAAATAATATAGCAATTTGAAAAAGTTTGCTAATAAAAATGAAAGATACATATAAGCACCAGTAAGCAGTTTAAAGTATGTATAGTTAGTAGTGGCCGAGTTATCTTAGAGATTCGCCTGGTAGAAGTTAGTCTCCAGTGTGTTGATTCGCTAGTTTACTTCCGCTGTTCGCGGTTGTAGAGTATCCTCCCAAACAACTTCAGAAGGGTAGAGTGCAGATAGCAAAGTGCACTGCATAAGTATACCAAGTAGGTGGTGGAAATTGCTTTAAACTGGACGTTATAAAATCAAAACTCAATAACTACATGAAAATTTATCAAAATATAAAAAGAAACAGGAATAAAATGATTTGTAGATACGTTTAGTGAATAGTAATAGGTCTGTTTGATTTAATACAAAAATAAATGCCGATATTTTACTATAACTGCCAGCAGCAATGACCATAATTTGTAAGAGTAGCCTATATATACCAAAAAGTATATACATTGAGTTTGCAGTTCTCAGTTGGCGGTGTCGAACTCTGTGTGTAGTTTTCGGTTTGGTCGGCGGCCACAAAGTTCTCCACCTTTTACGGAACCGAGAGACACATATATACATTTTACAACGACGTATAAATCACTCGTGGGGTTTAAATTAAGACGAAAAACGACGACAACCAAACCTGCCGCTTCCGTAGTCGCGCAGTCGAAGAGAGTGGAAAGGAAAAGAAAAAGGCAAACACGCAAAAAGACACAACGTTCGGGGGCTATGGGGCAAATTGAATCTGAGATTCAGCACTTTTTGCGCTTCCATTTCGCACATGCTTTACCTTGTGCGAGTTGCGGAATTCTCGATGTTTGATTTCGAGTGTTGTTTGATCACATTTTACAGCCCCCTACGGTAACACAGTCAACAGGATCATTTTTTATACGCCAAAATACAATAGGGAACAAAGGGACTCGTATTATTCGTGGAAATGAAGAGGAAAACCTTGGAATAATGCTTATTAGAAAATCCACCCACTTTTATACGCAAAATATTTTTGGGTGTAAAAATTTTTCGTGATCGGAAATGATGTGCATGAGGCATTGCCGGAAACGATTTCCAATCTAAATCGAAATTCACTGACGGAAATATCAATTTTCTGGTATATCTAATATTGAAAATTTCCCAATTTTAAAAGGATATGGGTTTAATATGTCTAGATCAAGATCCAATTGCAATTTTACAGTTTTCGACCAAATGTTGGCTGATTTAATATACCTGTCCAAACTAAAGAACCCCGAAGGCAATTTAATCTGTCTTCACTTTTCATTTTCAGTCCCATTGTGATTTCTACGAGTATTCTACGACTCAATTCTAACTCTTCATTAAGCGTAATCGTTTTTCACAATTTACCAAAGCACCCTAGGCTTACATTCTTTAAATAGAATGAAAACACAAATCCATTCAACTTTTAATCATGTCAAAACTAACTTTAACCACTACAGCATAATTTTTTATTTGTATTTAATGAGTGGAAGAGTCGTGGATTTTTTTAGAAGTTTTATTTTGCCACCGCGACCTTTTTAGTGTAATGGTAATTTCACTTCACCTGCTCCTAGGTACTGGTACTTTCCACATCCGCACATTGCCGGTAAACGCCGGCAATCCTACTGCGATTAATCCACGATTCGTCGCCGTGAAGCGTTGAAGCGCGCGCCCGCCGCTCCACACTATTTCCACCTTCCACTTTATATAAATTAAGATTATCCAAACAGACGCCGCAAACTAAAATTACCACGTTACGTGGTCTAACATCTACCTATAAGCTGCGTCGGCGAAAAATCTCCGCGCATTTAACTATGAGTACCAACATGCATTCGTAATAAATGCGTGTAGTAGTTTAGGAGAGATTGCGTTCTGGGACCGCAAACAAACACTTAATAAATTATCAATGTGGGTGTTGGGCAAGTTCACTGAATAATCATATATTGTACTTGATAATACGGCAATTTAACATCATGTTTATGTGATTACATTCACAACATCCAGTCTGTAGACAATTTTATGTAATTTAATATCAGGTAAAAATATTGATTTGATTTTTTTTCAATTTTAATTTAAACTGGCGTTTACGTGAAGTTGGCACGTCAAAAGATTTGAAATAAATTTAATTTAATTAATTCTGGAATGAAAAAAAACTCGTTACTTTACTTAATTGAAATAATTCCAGCCGTTTTTTGGCTTGTTGTTGTTGTTTTCGTTTCGTAAATTGTAAAAACTTTTCTGACATTTACCCGCGCCGCCGAATTTTAATGGAATCATATTATATTACGAATAATAACAGTGTTTTTGTTATTATTCTAAAAAAAACTAATTCAATCTGGTTTATTTGACATTTGTTAAGACGAGTATGACATGCACATCTATTTTGCATATTTATGAATAAAAATATCCTAGAAACTTCGGTGAAAATTCAGAAAATACCTGTATGTGAGTAAACAGTCTGCATTTGTTTAACGAACGGTTAAACACGATGTCTACTCAAATATAGTTATAAATACAATCTAATAAAAACAAAGTCCTAATAAAATTTCGAAATGTTTTTTTTTTTCAATCGTGTAACGTCTATCATTATCGCCTCCACCTCAACTAGTTATACATTAAGTATACAGTTACGTTTTGCTTACATCAAAAGCAACGATCGACTTGATATAAATATTTATCGCCAGACTAATGGCATCAATAAAACTAGCGTCCATCAGTTAGTTAGTCCATGAGCGCGTTAGGAACAAGTGAATCAGTTGATGCGATGGAATGGAAATATCGGAACAGATGCGATTTTCGTTGCTAAAACCGTAAACGCAAAGTTCGCTGCACAAAATTACAACACAACACAACACACAACGCGCGTGGAAAACTCACTCTTTAACACATGCAACACGTAAACTACACGGGCGTATGTTAGCTCGGATAGTTCGTTCGTTTAGCGCGAAACTTTTCGTCAGCGTCAAACTAAACTTCGCGTAAAATTGAAAGCTGAAAACCGACGGGGTGCAAACTAGAAACTTCCAGTGGCGACGTCCTGATGCTGTCTATTGAATGTGCATCAATCGTCTACATGGACTACATGTTTACTATATAAATAGAGAAGTGAGTTGTATTCGGGCAAGGACTAAATAAGATCAAAAGTAAGTTTCTGTAACTTCAACTGCTTCTATTAGGTAATTAAATAAATAATAATTCGTGTCTGAATCTAGAAAACATCAAAAACAGCTTCTCCACGGTACACAAATCGCTTACCTTTTTTTTATAAATGAATAGAAACGTGAATCTCGACGGAAATTTGCAAACTTCTCAAAGTGGTCAAAGTTCTTTTCAACTTAACAGCGATTGAAATTTATCTCAGACGTAACGAGTTTATACAGTCAATTAAAAATCACAAGTAATTAATTAGCGTCTCTCAAAAATTTTTAATAAATTAGGTAAATTAATTGCGCACCGGCAGGAGTTTTGTTTGGCGGCAAGATGATTTGGTTAAAATGTCAAAAACTTTGCGCGAAAGTCACGCGGCGGAGGCGCACTCGGGAGCAGTGGTATTGAAAAGACGAGGAGCAGGACCCGTTTGAAGTGCAACTGAAACTGGCGGCGAACCGGCGGCGGCGTTCGCGTGTGCCGCGCGCGGAAAATCGTGCAACCTGATTAACGCGCAAGCGCTGCTCCTTCGCGTGTATCATGCGTACACTGCTTTCCACACACATTGTGTGTATTTTTGAAAATTCTATTTACACAAAACCACTAAACATACCTACCTATAATAAATACAACATTTATTTAATAACTTCAATAAATATAAACATCATTTACAAAACAGGACATAAAAATTATTCAAAATAAAAAAAATTAGTTAGAAAGCTTTTTACTATAAATTCAAACATGAAATGTTTTTTTTATTTCTGGGAATACTCGTATACCTATCATTAAGTGCTAAGCAACTTGAGCAAGCAGTTAATTATAGCCAAGTCAAGTAAAACCAAGATACGAAAGTTTCGTGCGACAATGTCGGACACGCTTCACTTATTGATTGATAGGTTTGCGTGGGGCCGTGGTGGCAACTACTAACTATGTCCAGAGATGATAATAACACCACCCTCGTTCTATGAGTAGGTGCCTGGGCGCTAATTAAGTCTATTATCACTCCGGGGCTACATGGTAACGGTTGTTGTGCATTCCCGTTCTTCGCTCGGTCGAAAGGCTTGGATTTAGGGATCAATGTGAGGCTCATATGTTACGCTTAGGTATAAATTACACTTGCTCGCATGTTACATGTTGCAATGCGTTGAATGCGGACCTAATTGCGGAGCAATTCCGCAAATTAGTTTATCAAACACGAGCATGTTTTAAATTGTTTTCTCGGTGCGAATCTGAGACCCAGGGACACTTGTCGCTTCCATCGCATTACACAACATTGAAGGCAAAAGGAAAAGGGAAACTATTCGTACTTGTAGTGTTGCTAGTGGAGCTACACCCTTAGATAAAGTAATATCATGGGAATGACCTTGCGGTAGGTTGCTTCTAGCACGTTTCGACTGAGGCAATTTTTGAGATATTCGCGCGACGTGCGAGATGCGAGCTTGCTTGGATGCTAATGATGCGGTCGTTATATAAACAGTCCGTGCATAATTGAACTAACTTTAAACGTGATTCCATAACGCCTGTCAGCTCCCGAATGTATCTTGCTTGTTTAACATATATGGAATATGATAATCCCTTTTAATAATCTAATTTCAGCTGGGTATTTATTGAATATATTTTCGTGAAACGTTTGATTCAAGTTTATTGCGAAGGCTATTTGTGTCCTGTGTGAAGCGGCTAAGTAAAAAATATACAAGCAGTGCACATGGGAAAGGCCCAGGCTTGAATGGAAGCTTCCGAACATGAAAGGAGCAACCACGCGCCGGGTTCAAAACAGCAGCGTCGGCACGACCTCGCACTCAGCGTAATCAAAAAGTACAAATCTAGCTGCGGGGCAAATAGATAAAATTAAATAAGACTTGGCGAATTCGCCGGCATCGAAAGGTATTGTAGTGAACTGAATTGAGTCGTGTTAATCCTTTCAATGATTCTGACAGTTCAAATGCAGGTGTAGCAAACAGAAAAATAAATTTATTAAATGAATTTTCTTCTTTCTACGCGTAAATCAACACTTTTTTCGTTTTATTCTTCTGTTGCTGAAGCAGTTATTTTCTTATTTAATCCTACTTTTATAATTCATACTTGAGTTTTCATTGCAACGCGTTTTTATTTTCCAATTTCATGGTAGAGCTAGGCGAGCAACTCCATCGAAGGAGCAAACAGATTTTAATTTAAAAACTGACTTGGACTTTGAAAGTCAAATTAACAATTTGCAGCGCGTTAGAATTTCATTCGGACTTGGTTCGCACTTTTTCCGAAATAGTCTTCGCTGCGCCAAACACCATTAACGTCCAACTTTTTATTACACTCTAATTAAAAACGCATTTTAATATCTTCCCCATTATTTTGACACCTTGGAAACGCAGATGTTAAAATGAAAAATTATTAACTTATGAAGCACATCATTTCTTTCAAAGTTCTATTTAAAAAAAGGTTTTTGATCATCAGAAAGACGTAATCAGTTGTCCCCCGGTCTTTACCACTTACTGTACTCAAAAAACACAAGCGATAAATCGTATTACGGTAATCTCCATGTATTTTTTGCTTTTTTGATCCGTGTTGCAGCAGCTGTAGCCGAATTACCTTTCCGCTGGATGATCCATTGAACATCAAAACATTAACGGCATTTTTTCTTCTCTATGTTTACCATACTAATCAATCAGCATGGCCGGAAAGCTCGAAATTTGTCGATTTGCCGTTTTACTGTTTGCACGCATTTTTTACCAGTGCTCAATGATAAATCGACCATAACGAAATTCGCGCTATTTACACTACATATACTGGTGACAGCACATTCAATATTTGTTCTTGTGAGTACTCGTATACACCCACACAAACCCTCAAAACAAGATGTTTCAAAAAACATCTTTTTTTTCTTCAATTTTGAGCTTTGATTTGTGAATTAAGTGAATTTTGAGCAAATTTTGAATGAGGATATGACAGGATACTCTCAAAGCGTTGCATTTGATGTTGGCATGATTCAAATTATCCGAGTGAAGCCTTTTTTGCTGTCGAACGCATTTGTAACATGTTTTTACGCAACGTTAACAGCGAAATTCTGTTTGATTTGGACATAGAAAAAGGCCTACTCTATCATTTCATTGGCGATGTATTCGCGATCAATCCAACATATCCAACATGTGCTATCGCGTGGAGCGCGCGCGTTGATGCATTACCCGCATTAGTCTTGTTAACTGACATGTCAGGGGCTAAAATTACCAACGGTTAAAATTAACTTTTATTGCAAAGTGCGCGCAGTTCAAAGCACCATTTTTCTATGATATTTATACAATGTGTATGCATAACACATAAATTCACATATCGATGGTTAATTTTCCAAAATTTCCATTTGCAAATGGCTGGGTTACACTCGCATAAATAACTTTGGACGTTCGGAATCATTGAAGTAATCAATTTGAACTTGAAATCTTAGTATCTTGCATCAAACCAATGTGAGTACCGAAATGTGGTTACTTTGGTATCGTCGTTCGAAGGTAGTAGTAATCCACGCCGAAATGCACTTTCCATTCGGCAACAGTTCCAATCCAACCCCTATGGTTTCATGGTCTCATGATTATTTCCTCATCGACATACCGAATGAATCAAGCGAATTGGTAAGTAAGAACAAACACTCTCAATCGGGAGCTAATAGATGCCCGGAGAGGGCCAGAATGGCTGCAATATGTAAAGTCGTTGATGGTGGAGAGATGTGATGGTAGTTCGTGGAGAATATGAAATACCCGCGCCGCTCAGATGCTGTGCAAAGCATATCGATTCATTTCCTATTTGGAAGCGCAGGTGAGTGTGATTAATTCACATTTCCTTTCTGCGGCCGTGCCAGCTGTCTATCAGAGTGTCTGCGTGGTTTATTCGCTCGCCGGCGAACATACCGAGGAAATGAGGAAAAGAACCGGTTGCAAATGTGAATAACCCGAGGTGAATTTTGAGGGAAAAGTTTCGTCTTCATCTCTGATTGTGTCGGCAGCGTAAATTTTGAATTAAATTTCCACATCATAGAATCATAATAAATACTTATCTCTTAGTGCTTTGTCTTCATGCGTAATCAAGCGTGGATAACTGCTGCAATCCATTAATTAATAAGCAATTAATAATAATCATGAATACGTACGCATGCGAAATAAACCGATTCGTACAATTGTACGCACGCACATTAAACTTGCAGCCGTAATGTTGTAAACTGTTGATTACAGATGGCTCTACCTATACAGTGTGTTTTATTTTGTTATTAAGATAAATATTTTTACACTTTTGTGTATTTGACTTCAAAGTACATGGATTGACCACCTGCTGCATCAAAACTGGAATTTGGATTATTTTTGCTGTTTAATGAATTTTTATTGTGGTTTATGGGTATAAAGACAGTTGGTATAAAATGATTCATAATCCAATGATGCTTTGGCGCGCACAATCAGATGTGCCTGGTAAGTATTGTGCTACCTGGCCTGCGGGAGGCGAGAAATTGGCAGGAAGGACGCAACTAGTACCCGCCGATAACGCGTTTGCTTGCGATAACGAAGCACACGCGTGCAGTTGCAGTCGCGCAGCAAAAGCGGACGATTGAATTACCCGAACGGCAAATTCGATCAATCACCCGTGCACCGCGTTTCTAGTCATGCCAGGCGCCAACGGTAAATTTACTTCGCGCATTTTTTTCAATAAAATAATTAGCTTGCAATTCCAAGGCGCATAGAATAACGTGCAGTTATTCACACTTCTCAGCAAACCGAATTTAATTTGAATAATTTTTATTAAAATAATTAGTTATTATGTTTGGCTAGACCCGAAATTTGATAATTCAGATGAGTTTATACAATTTCGAAGTTATCAAATATCATATAACCAATGTAAATTATTCCTCAAGCCACAAACCGTAGTTTGAATATCCCACATCAAACTCGGATAACTTAATTTACCGCCCGAATGACACGTTTGTCGGACTCCATTCTACTTTGCTCATTTCATTGTAACCAAACAATGCGCCAAAACTACTTGAACTACTCGCGGTCGTCAATTTGTAGTGGACACTCGAAACTTTCGAAATTCACGCCTTCGATACCATTGCGTGCAATCGTCTACCTTAACTATTTTATGCACGTATTAACAGGATGCGTATCGCCTTTATACACACCGCAAAAGAACGATCACATCAAGCGATAACATGAAAATAAATTGCATACGTGTAATTATACACTCTGCGCAAAAGTATAATTATCTCCAAGTCACGCTATTCTGTATTTAATGTTTTAATTCCAATTATCTCACCTTTAACCGCTTAAAAATTATTTTTTTTTGCTTTTTTGATTATTTTTGGTTGTTTTACTTCAGTGGTGAGAAGGAACTTTTGATGGTTTGTGCCAGAATGCCAGAGACTATCTGTGAAGTTATAAAAACGATAAATCCAAGACTCTCCCAGCCGGAAAGACCTAGTCCTAGTTCCAGTTTACGTGAAAATTGCCCGGCATACCCGCGAAAATTCCGAACAGCTTGAAAATTTAATAACATTCCATCAAATATATTTTGCTTATTGAAACCATTTTGCGCGGTTACGATGCTATGTAATGTTCTATCTTACAGAACATAAACCCTAAAAAATCAAAATTTAGGCTCACGAAGATAATAAAAAACATATCATCATTATTATAATCGTGATATAGGATAAATGGCGCACTTCCAAAATAGGATTTTATACAAAAACAGGCTAAAACTAGACGTTTTTGTTGTTGAAATTTGTTTTTACTCGTTTTATAACTGGTAGATGTATTTGAAGGCCAAGAGTGCAAAGTTTTGATTTATTATCGAACCGAAATGTAAAACTTAATGCTTTCATTTCGAGTTCCACTCAACAACCTTTCAACTTTATTAAAATCTTAGCTACAATAGGAAAATAGCAATAATTTATTAAATCTTTTGAATAGCAGACACGACGTAAATCGTTCCCTGGCGTTGGGGAAATGTTCAATGAGTTTTCGTAATAGTTTGAAAGAGTTGGAGACGACAGTTTGTACAGGGTGATCATTTTTTAATTTTTTTATATTTGTATTAAGTGAGTATTAACTATGTGTTTAACTTTCTTCAACATTCTGTGCGATTCTGGGAATAACCGAATGCTTCAGCAACCGACTGAAGAGTGAAGATATACTCGAGTCGGTTTTACGCCGGCTTTGAGTCGTTTCATTTATTTCATTTCAATGTTTACATTTGCTGCCAGTTCTTAGCAAAATTAGCATAAACTTTTTCATCTTGCCCGCGTTGGTGGAAACTCGATAGACGCAAAAGTTTCTAATTCGTTCTTTGTGTCAGCGTATGCAGAGTATAATATTGCATCAGTTTGCTTAACAGTTTTTGGCAATTTAATGCCCCTTTTCTGAAATGGCGGCGGCGTCGTCCTCGTCGAGCTTTCAGTGCATAGCAGTTAATTTTCCTCATTGCGGTCCATATGCCATTGTTGAAGGCATTACACAACTTTGTTCGGGCAATTTACAAAGTTATAATTTTCGCGTGTTTGCTTTCACGTAATAATAAACTATTTTCAAGTCAAATAGAAGCAAACGAACGTCCAAAACAGTCGCAGGAACATATTTTATTCAAGTCGTAAATAAATATATTAGTTTTTATTATTATTAATTTTTTATACTATAAATATTCATTTTTTTACTTATATTAACACAGTGTATATGAGTAAAAGCGATTAAGTCATTTTTCCGCAACCCCGCAGATTTATTTTAATAAAACAAAGACGTGAGATTAATTAACGGCATAAAAACGTGACAAGCATTTACCGCAATCCGCCGGCATCACACGAAATCCGCGATGCATTTTTATTTTACACCCGCTTACTTTATGCCTCCCACGCTTTTAGTAGGGTTTAGTTTCTCTCCCTCGGCGCTTTGAAATTCAGTCGCGGGAGTTTGCTCACTGTCGGCACGATTCCACCGGCATGCGATGTCGCAATGCATTATTTCAAGTTTTCATTAAAATTAAATAAATTACACCTCGGTATATAATACATTTAATTTCCGTTGCACTTTTAGTAGACTTCCTTTAGTATTTACATTGGGGATAAATACAGTGCGTTTGTGTATTTTGTTTTTACTTCTCCGAAACTTTTGAATAAATGTAGTTTTAGGTTGACATGTAAGTAGAAACAAAAATATAGTGTAACGGGTGTAATTTAATTAGGTTAATTCCTTGTTAGTGCATAAATAAAATAGTGACTGTTACCAAGTTCCTACAAAGAATGAAAAGCATTAAACGCAGATTTTTTTTGCTGTGTAGCCTATAATTTTTGGAAAAGTTTACTAAAAAACGCATCCTGAATTCCTGACAAATGTCTCCCTTTTGGTGACCTGCCGGACAACGGGCAACTTGTGGATCAATTCATCTTGCTACAACCCATTTCCACGGCAATTTCACATCTATTCAGAAAACACTTTTGGCGGGTTTTCATTGAAAACTTTGAGGTCATCACATGTAATAATGGTATAATCATAGTGATCAGTAATAGGATTAAAATTAATATTATTTAATATGCAGAGTAGGTTATGCATAATATATATTTATTTACATATTATATATTTAACTTATAGCAAAGCTGGCAAATTCGGGAAATTAATGTAATTAACCGTGAAATCTGTATATCATATTAATTTATTGTAATGAATACGTGGAAATAGTGTCTGGTTTGTAATAACCTATATTTATTTTAGTTCATTACCGTTATTATTGATTTTTTTCTATTTTATTTATAAAACGCCAGTTTTTGCGGTTTTGAGATACATAAAGTGGTATTTTAAACCAAAGGCGTGACTAAAGAACTTTAGTCATAGACTTTAGTCACGGGGTGGAGCTTGCGCCTGCGCATTTGCTAACGGTGCAACACAAGACCATATAAAATGCCATGCGCAGTAAGCATCACGTGGCTAAACGTTGTTAAACACTTGATTGATTAAACACTTGCAACGCTCGCTCTCAATCTCATTTTTTTTTGTTGCAATAAAGAAAAAAGTTATACAAGGATAGAACTTTTTTAAAAATTGTTCTATTTTTTGTTGTGTATACTGAAACCCGATGAAACATATCAAATAAATTTAATTATGTTGCAATAACAGTGTATTTATTTACGTTTTAAACGAGCGGCTCGTGGCGATCAATGAGCAAACGACCATGGAGCAGCCCGTGTTGCATCGTTATCAGTCGTGATTTTGTCTATTAATATGTATGGAGATGGATTCGAAAACATTGATCTATGCAAGCGCCAAACATTGCGCGCAAATGCTGTTTACATTTCGTGTCCGCCGAAAAATATCACAAAACAAATTCCACGTATAGCAAAAATAAGGAAATGTCAATACATAAATAATCTAATTTTATGCTCATCAATAACCCGTTAATTAAAAAAGGCGTAATTCAATTATATTTTTGTTTGCCGCTGCACACTAATTTACAATGACATAACTGAAATAATTAATAATTACATTATATGTACATTTATTATTTTTTTAAATTTCCGACTAACTTAATTTGCAATTATAATTAACATTAATTATATTTGTAAACAAAATTTACCCAATTGAACGCACATTTATTTAATTGTGCAACATAATTAATAATTATCTGGTTGAAAATTTCAGTTAAAAAACGTCTATGTTAGTATTTGTATTTTTAGTTGCATATAGTAGAATGTTGGACAATGCTGGAAAAGTTTAATCGAACATAGGGCAAAGCATATGCTGAAATTTCAATGCGGGATTCTTGAGGGCCTAAAATTATGTCAATTTTTACAGATGTAAAGCAATGCGGCTGAGGAAGCACTAATGGAAATTTCGTTGACGTATTTCATTAAGCTTCGAGTATCTCAGGCATCCTTCGCTCTCAGACATAATATTCTCCACTACCAACAGTTTCAAACCGATCGATATAATGGATATTTGTATATCAAAAACGAATATGTGCGCCACAGCAAAAGCAATAAAATCCAAACTGCAGCCGAGCGCATTTATGCATTTACGTGGATATTGCATAACCATCAATACGGCTCATTTTGCGTATGCGGTTGATAATAAAATTGAAATCATCATTGATTTTATACGACTTCTAGCCAAAAATCTGCAACGAAATGCAATTATTCAATAAAACTGTTGATGGAAAACCCTAAAACTCAAATGTTGGTTCATGTGTCATAAAGCATATAGGGAACTCTAATTATGTCATAAATGATATTAGGAAGACACATCACATCTTAGAAAATTGGAACGCATTCTAAACTAAATTCAATTTACCGTAATTATCAAACAATACGCACGAGCGCAAATAGAATTAGTTTTCATAAAGTAAAGTACAAATAATTCCATTGTTTCCTTGTTTTCTTAATGTGAATTGCTCTTTGTTCACATTTCAAGACGCTTTTGTCGAAAATGATTCCAGAATATGAATAATAAATAAATTGTTTACATGGGTGTGCTCGTAGTGGTGTCCAAAATGTCCTCTTTAACTAGTGACAAGAATACTTGACCTATATGGCGAAACATCATTTTATTTATCGGAATTTTAAGGCTGTAAAAAGTATTTCGACACGAAACTTTAATTGGCACTTGTATCTCATCGAAATTATTGGCTAAAAACATGTCTCGAATACAATCATCTCGTGTTATGTGGCCTTTTCCACTTTGCGCCGTAAAAATCCACACACATTGCAATTAATTCGAATTATTTGTAAACCAAATCACTAGCACACAAGCTATGATTACATGCATGATACCAATAGATCAAAATGCAATTGGGCGATTTTATGTAAACAAAACTTCGCTCCGCACGCGTTTTCTATCGCTCTCACTCTCCAGGTTTGAGTGTGTGTTGTGGTAATCACCAGCGGGCGTCTCTCATTCGATATTGATAACGGGCATCCCAGTGCTTCAAAACGGGCTGAGCTCAAGCTAAGCTAAGACGCAAACAAAATTGACACAAACACACGACAGTTATTGCGATTACGTCGAATATCCGACGAGCTCCCGGGGCACCATACAGCTCATCACGTGTAAATGCCGCGTCAATGGACATAGTCCATAAATGGTCCAATCGTTCCGCATATTGTAATCAGTGAAGAGTTGAAAACCGCTGGGACGGATTCGAAATTTAGTCGCTGTGCCGATTTGGGCAAGGGTGAACACGCTTAGTGGTCGAGCAGCTTCAGTAACAACAACAAGAAACACACGACGAGAAGTTTATACCCGATCCGAAAATGAACGGTTCCAAAATTGCCAGGCATGGACGATTGCTGTCTTACAATGGGTTTGGATTTTTTAAGCTTCCAGGACAAATTGCCGCTCTGCGTCCGACTGTAATCAGAAATGCTTCTACTACCAGTGGACTATGGTTACCAAAAAATACGCAGGTTAGAAATTTTTCTTTTTTTTTCTTCAAAAAATATGTATGTGCATTAAATGCTATAAAATACTTATTGACAATAACATACTTGAATTTTATTGAAACGTTAGAAATTGCTAGATTTTCATCAATATACAATTGAGACGTTCCGGAATTTATAGTTTTTCACAGTGTAAAGTTTTATTTTTGAAGTTGTTTACTACGTATTTAAGTACAAAATCTTTATTTATCAAATATCATAAAAACAGCGTAATAAAACTTCTATTTTTGATTTCAGATTAGGTATTATTACATATTTGGCAATAAAAATATTTAGCAAGTGACTTATATCTCTTATCAATACAGATTTGAGCCGGTTTCAACCAAACTAGACCATAAATCTTATCATTCCGTAATCCGTGATAATGAATAGCAAATGAGCGTAAAGTTGCGAATAAAAATACAATCATAACACAACATAATCTAGCACATACATAAATGTAACCGCTGATCTTATCTTATCAATTTATATGCCTACTCATATTTGCTCAGGTTATAGCTGTATTTGTATCTGTCTGCGAGTGCCGAAATGCGAGTATTTATTTCAATCAATATTCTAATCATGCCTTTTTTCGAGTGCCACTGTAATGGCCAAATCGCGTGTCTTGTGTGTATTTAACTAATTTAGTAAAATAATCGCTTCATTGTTTTTGTGCACACATGACGTGGCAACAGGGAATTTAAATAATTTAAAACTTTCACGCTCGTGTTCAGTGCTTAAATACAATCGATTTGAGTGCTTGTTTGAGAAAACATATAATTTTTTTAATAAATAATAAACAAGCACGAAATAAAATAAAATAGAGTTCAAGGTGAAAAGTCATATGAACTACAAAAATTGTATTATATATTTATATATTACATATACGAATAGAGAGAGGTTTAAAGTTCAGTGATACACTAATAAAACAAAACACTAAATAACTGCTCTTTATGAAATAGAAAATATCCTGACCCGCTAGTTTTATAAATTTCCCGTACGAGTAAATAATCTGAAGTTGGGTGCTCGTGGCATATAAATAACAACAAATCCTAGACGGCGATAACGCCGTGAACTGAACACTCGAGTTTCGTACTTTGAATCCGGCGCCTTTTTTCGGCCATTTTATTTAGCAATACACTCAATTGAATAACAAAACACTTTTTTAGAAACGTTATCACGACTGTTATTGATTTAGCATTAGCACAAATATCTAAATATAGGATTTATTGATGGAATTATTTAAATATCAGCGAGAATTCAATTTGAAAGAAATTAAATTTGCATTTGCTACATTTGCAACATTTTCGACATACAATCAGCACTTAGCACAAGGCTCGTTTCGGGGAATAAAAAAAACATGGCGTAGAAAAAATGCGTACAGCGCAAATACGCATCAACCATCACCACATCATCATCTAAGCGTGGAGTGATCGGACGCGTATACGATAAAACATGCACTTCAAACCGGACGAGGACGCGTCCGTCGCAAATAAACACACACTTTATAAATATGGTCGGCGCGCGTTGTATAAATATGACATGAGTAGCAATGGCACTGAATTACAGTCACCGATATTCCAGGCCGAGGCACATGTACTGTATTTGTGTAATATTTACATTACATATCGGAACCGTCACGATGGGAACGCGTGTAATTTGCCACAGTCTATTAAAACGTTTCTAATTTTCAAATTTTTTAGTTTTCATCTTGAAAATTCCATAAAATCAAATTTTAGGGGTAAAAATCAAGTTTGTCTCTTCATATTAACAAATATCTATATGTAAAGTTTATAATTATTCCTACGACAGTTGTGTCTGAGAGAAAACGCATTGTATGCAACAGTCGAACAACAAAACTCGTACGATTACCATACACGTGGAGGTGCAATAAAAACGTAATTAATGAACAATGCGCTGCGCACATGCCTCAGTAGGAACGTGTAATTGTCGCCTCACATAAATAGCAAAAACACCAAACACACCGCTTTAGTATAACGTGTATTTTTGCAACACTAGCAACCGGTCTGCCTGTGTCTGCCACATATCTATATAAATATATGATGACATTGACCAAGAAAATGGGAACTAACATCAACGGTGATAAATTTCAGGTGAATCTGGAGAAGCGTACCCTACAACAGTTCACCGACAAGAAGCAGTCGACGTTTACTGATCGCAGCCAGCTGAAATATGCGAGACGTCTCGTCGTCAAGTTGGGCAGCGCCGTCATCACAAGAGAAGACGAGCACGGTCTTGCTCTTGGTAGGCTGGCATCGATCGTCGAACAGGTAATGTACAGAATTAAGCTCTGGACTTTTAATTATGCGCACGAATTCTACGAACGCTTGAGTTTGACGTGTGCCTGTATGAAATTTAGTGATTTAGTGCGAAGGGCCTTAAGTGATATAGAAAGTTTTGTTCGATTCGCTAACGTCAAAGTGTTTACACGGTACTTTACTTTCTCCTATCGTAGATATATTTATACTGGATGTAACAAACTAGAAATATGGATAGTTCGGTAAAATATTCATTGAAATATTTTTATTTTTGATTGGATATTGAAATAATTGAGTTTTAAAATATATTTGTCAGGTAGTGGCCGTCAGTCACTATCTGTATAAAATAAACTAACTGCTTATACACGTACTTCTCCATTTGAAGTTCGAATCCGTGAAATTGAGTTTCCAGTTTGCGGCAAGTTTGAAGTTGCCAAACAAAACGCGCCCGCAATGAGACAATAGATTTCGTGTGTTTCCACGTGCGCGCACGTGCAAATTGTTCAAATTGGAACTAGTCGCCGCACAATGAGTACAAGCATAACTTGACGTTACAGGCGACGGTGGCGGCGGTGCCTGAAGGCTTGGAGACACTTCGCGGCAGTCGCGCGCTCCGCAGGATTGTGAATAAGCTTGTTCGCTCTCTGGTTAGAAGGCCATTAGACTGTAATTAATTACTTTTGACCGTTTTCATTGGCGCAAAAAGTTTCCTGCTGAACAACGGCGCGCGGCGTCAAAGTCCTATCGGTAAAAACTTCAATTACGCGCGCAAATGGATTTTAATTCATTTTCGTATTTGATTTAGATATTTTTCTGTGCGTAATTAGGCAAATCGTGTTAGGAAAATGACGAATTATCTTGCAAAACACGTCACGCTATAAAAATTCTAAGCATAAAAAGCATCTGATTGTGAATTCAAAACGCGTGCCGCGTCTCATTTGCACACGTTTCGTTTTTTCTGGTTTTGCTCCGTGCGCCGCCGTCTTAGATATTGATTTCTCTGCAGTTGCATTAATAAAAAGAAAATTAATTTATCCATAGATATGTGCATTTGCACATTGGACGTTGAATGTCATTGCCGGAGAACAAGTTTCTCGCCATAATTGTGTTGTATCACATGAAACGCACGTGTTCGCCATGTTTAAACCGATTCAACAAAGGCAAACATTCATAATACATTTATAGTGGTTTTAGCAAATATACAATCGTGTAATTCGTAATACATGACGAGTTCAACACTCATAATATAATAATTAAAACAAGCTGTTTAACAGCCGCTGAACGCATATTTTTAGATTATTTTTTTTACAAATACGTTTATTTGATTTATTGGAATGTATGTTTATGAAACGATTGCCAAAATTCAATTCTATTTTAAAAATACTGTGTTTTATGATTGAGGCGGTATTTTTATATAAAATATTTTTTGTTGGTTTTTAATGTTTTTGCTTGCAAACGTAATTTTCAGGTGGCTGAAGCACAAAACGAGGGAAGAGAATGTATTATGGTGACGAGTGGAGCCGTAGCCTTCGGCAAGCAAAAGTTGACCCAGGAATTGCTAATGTCGCTCTCCATGAGAGAAACTTTATCCCCGACGGATCACACGCGTGAGGTAAAATTTTTATCCGTCCATTCCCCTTGCCTAGATAACACTCTACATATGTTTAACATTTCACCGTACATTTTTCTTTTCCTATCTACTGATTGTACAAGTCACACTCGCCTCGCTTTTTCCAAGTGCAGAATTTCTTTGATTCACCAGTAGAATTTTATTCCACTAGAAATATTTTCCCTTTGCATATTACATCATGCATTCTTGTCCAGCAAAAAAGGGAACATCACGTACATACTCTAACATGAAAACGTTCAACTTTTTTTTATAGGATGCGCCTGCTCTTGTTGAGCCACGTGCCGCCGCCGCCGTCGGTCAATCTGGTCTCATGTCTCTGTACGATGCCATGTTTTCGCAATATGGCGTCAAGATTGCACAGGTACTTGTAACGAAGGCTGATTTTTACAATGAGCACACACGCAGCAATCTGTTCAGTACGCTGAGCGAATTGATTAGTTTGAATATTGTGCCGATTATTAATACGAATGATGCTGTCTCGCCTCCGCCACAAATTGACGAACCAATCGGTGGCAAGGGATCCAAGAAGGGTATCTCTTTGAAGGATAATGACAGTTTGGCTGCTATGTTAGCTGCAGAGGTTAGCGCTGATTTGCTTATCCTTATGTCTGACGTCGATGGTATCTACAACAAACCACCATGGGAGGAAGGCGCGCGTTTCCTTCATACCTTCACATCAGACCTGCGTAATACAATCGAATATGGCAAGAAATCGAAGGTTGGTACTGGTGGAATGGACTCGAAGGTAAATGCTGCCACCTGGGCTTTGGATCGAGGAGTATCCGTCGTTATTTGCAACGGTATGCAAGAGAAAGCCATTAAGACCATTTTGGCTGGTCGTAAAGTGGGAACTTTCTTCACTGAAACCAACCTGGGTGGCTCGATTCCAACTGAAGTTGTTGCGGAAAACGGTAAGTTTTAATTAAGTGTCATTACTAAGCAATGGTCGAATCAATAGCAGGAGTAAATGAGGTGGAAGAAAAAAACAACTAATTTTTGATTGTTTTCTCTTTTCTAATGGAATAGCTCGCACGGGCGGTAGGATACTAGCAACATTAACCCCCGACCAACGCGCAAACTGTGTTCATACATTAGCCGACCTTCTAGTCTCGAGACAATCAGAGATTTTGGATGCTAACGCGAAGGATTTAGCCGAAGCAACCAAATCCGGCCTCGCAAAGCCGCTTCTTTCCCGTCTATCGTTAACTCCGGCAAAACTAAAGAATTTGGCTGTGGGCCTTAAGCAAATTGGCGATTCTAGCCATAACAACGTCGGGCGCGTCTTGCGCCGCACAAAATTAGCCAACGGACTCGACCTTACCCAAATCACTGTTCCCATCGGAGTGCTTCTAGTTATCTTTGAATCGCGTCCGGACTCCCTTCCGCAAGTAGCCGCGCTCGCCATTGCATCCGGCAATGGGCTGCTCCTTAAGGGTGGCAAAGAAGCAATGCATAGCAACCGTGCTCTCATGGCCCTGGTGCAAGAAGCCATCTCCACCGTGGGTGCAACCAACGCCATTTCATTGGTACGTTGACATCTCCGCACTACATCTAATCAAATTGAGCTAACTCTGTGTGATTTAATTTTCGACAGGTATCCACCCGAGAAGAAATCGGCGACCTCCTTTCCATGGAGCAGCACATCGATCTCATTATCCCGCGTGGCTCCAGCGAACTCGTCCGCAGCATCCAAACGCAAAGCCAACATATTCCCGTTATGGGCCACGCCGAAGGCATTTGCCATGTGTACGTCGACAAGGATGCCGATCTTAAGAAAGCTATAAAGATCATCCGCGACGCCAAATGCGATTACCCCGCGGCGTGCAACGCCATGGAGACACTACTCATCCACGAAAGCCTGATGGAGGGTGAATTCTTCTCCGATGTGTGCAATATGCTTAAGAAGGAAGGTGTTACTATCTACTCAGGCCCAACACTAAGCCAAATGCTTACTTTCGGCCCACCGCCTGCCAAAACAATGAAACACGAATATGGCGCGCTCGAGTGTTGCATCGAAGTGATCAAGGATATGAACGAGGCCATTGATCATATTCACGCGTATGGTAGTGGACATACAGATGTCATTGTCACCGAAAACAGTAAGCGCACAAATACAAAGCCAGCGAAATGTTGAATACAATATCTATGAATTTAATTTATTTGCAGCTGATAAGGCACGTGACTTCCAGCGTAAGGTCGACAGTGCATGCGTCTTCCACAATGCTAGCTCTCGCTTCGCCGATGGCTTCCGCTTCGGTTTGGGTGCTGAAGTGGGCATCAGTACGGCTAGGATTCACGCCAGAGGCCCTGTTGGCGTTGAGGGATTGTTGACCACCAAATGGGTACTCACATCCGAGGCTGGACATGCCGCCGCTGATTTCGCCGACGGCGGCGACTGCACATGGCTGCACGAGCAGATGCCAATTAATTAAATCTAGTTGAAGATACAAACCGCGTCGATTATTTAATTACATTCGTTTTTTTTTACTTTTATTTTAATTTCTTATTTTGTTTTATATTTTTATTAGTTTAATTTATCAAACACGCTTGATAGGGAAAGCCAAATGAATATGTAAATATTTGAGTCATTGTCTCTTTAATAAACTATTATATAATAAACTAAATAATAACTAAACATTAAATATTTGCTTTTCATTCATCTCAGACTTTTAAAAAAGTGGATCTGATTAACTTACATAGTTCGACACAAGAGAGCAGCACGAGTCATATTCGACATTTGTTCTTACAGTTACCGACCACTCAACGAACACAAAGATTCGAGTGGTATTGATTCTGCTCTCGTTCATTATCACTGTTGAAAGTTAGGTTAAAGAGAAGTTTGCAGCTATAGTAACTTAATAATTACATTATAAAATGAGTGTTAGCAGTGACGAAGACCAGAGTGATTCACAGGAATGGGTGTTTTATCGTGACAGGCCTGAATGGAAAGACATTGAGCCCATACCTCAAGATGATGGAGAAGAACCTATTGTCAGCATTGCTTACTCACCCAAATGTATGTTTAATCATTTTATTTTGATTTTATATAAGCCACCACTTTAATATTATTGCAGTTCAAGATGTGTTTGATTATCTACGCGGTGCTATGAAAATAAGTGAAAAGAGTGAAAGAGTCCTACAGCTAACTCAAGATGCCATTGAATTAAATGCTGCAAATTATACAGTTTGGCAGTATAGAAGAGATATTCTGAAAGAAATGAAAGCTGATCTATGGCAAGAGTTGAATTACATAAATAGTGTCATTGAGAATTACCAGAAAAACTATCAAGTGTGGTATCATAGAAAAGTTATTGTCGAATGGCTAAAAGATGGTTCAAGTGAGCTTGAGTTCACTGAGCGTGTTCTGGAAATGGATGCAAAGAATTATCATGCCTGGCAACACAGACAGTGGGCTATTAAAACATTTAAGTAAGAGAAACAGTTTGTATTTAGAATGGAGCAGAGTTTTATCTGTTTATTATTTATTCCAGAATGTTTGATTCTGAACTTGACTATGTTGATAAGTTATTACAAGATGATATAAGAAACAATTCTGCATGGAATGAAAGATATTTTGTCATTCATCAAACCACTGGTTTCACTGAAGAAGTTGTCAAAAATGAAGTTGAATACACACTGGAGAAAATTGCCATTGCCAAGGAGAATGAAAGTGCATGGAATTATTTAAGAGGGTAAGTGATTAATAAATAGATGACAATTGTACTTGATTTAATTAATGTTCATTTCAGACTGCTACTTTATGATAAAAATGGTCTCAGTAAGAATGTGCATGTGACTGATTTCTGTGAAAAACTTTATGCCTCAGGTAATCGATCTCCTTTTCTGCTAGCGTTAATTGTTGACATGTGTGATGAACAAATTGTGTCTGGTAGTGGTGATGCTAGATATACATTGGAGAGAGCAAAGCAATTATGTTCTGATTTAGCAACTGAATATGATACTATTAGATGCAAGTATTGGGAGTATATGGCAAACACTATTGAAAAGAAATCTAAAGGAGAACAACCTGAAGAAGAAGCTAGTGCAAGTACATAAAATAGAAACATATTGCAAACAAACACCAGTTCAAATTGTTTAATTCATTCTGCTTTCATAGCAATGTATGTAATATTGTGAATGTTTATATTTTTCTCACCGCTACGTGTCAGGTATTTTTCCTTGCTGATTGTCATTTTGTGGTAGATAATGACATCAAGCAAATCCGTGGTATAACTGTATTGACTTGTATACTTAACAGCTGATTTTAATTGATGCATTTTTATTGTAGAATAAAAATATTCAACTAATAGGGCCTAAACAGAAAAATTGAAAACATCGTATGGAAAACACTCTGTATCTTATAAACTAATTGACTTTCTTAAGGTTTCTCCACGCCAGAATTGAGTTTGAGAGTTCCTCTACACGATGAAAACCCGTTCAACCTTCCAGCCCTTCTGTAAGTGCCTTAAAAAGCCCTTCAAAAATAAACATTTCAAATTTGAAACGATGGGGTGGAAAACACCCTGTAACTCCGAAACTAATTGACTTTCTTGGAGTTTCTCTACGCCAGAGTAGAGTCAGGGAGTTTGTCTACACGATGAATACCTTTTCAACCTTCCAGCCCTTTCGGAAGCGCCCTAAAATGCCCTACAAAAATTAGCAATTTTAGGAAAATTTGAAAACATGATGTGGAAAACACCCTGTATCTAGTGAAGTAATTGACTTTCTTAAGATTTCTCAACGCCAGAATAGAGTTAGAAGGTTCCTCTACACGATGCATACCTTCACAACTTTCCAACTTTTTCGGAAGTGCCCTAAAACGTCCTTCAAAAATGAGTACTTTTATAAAAATTTAAAAACATGGTGTGGAAAACACCCTGTATCTTGTGAAGTAATTGAGTTTCTTAAGGTTTTTCAACGCCAGAATGGAGTTAGAAGATTCCTCTACACGATGCATACATTTTTAACTTTCCAGTCTTTCCGGAAATGCCCTTAAACGACCTTCAAAAATGTGCACTTTTATAAAAATTTAAAAACATGGTGTGGAAAACACCCTGTATCTTGTGAAGTAATTGAATTTCTTAAGGTTTTTCAACGCCAGAATGGAGTTAGAAGGTTCCTCTACACGAAGCATACCTTTCCAACTTTCCAGCCCTTTCGGAAGTGCCCTTAAACGACCTTCAAAAATGAGCACTTTAATAAAAATTTAAAAACATGGTGTGGAAAACGCCCTATATCTTCTGAATTAATTGGTTTTCTTGAAGTTTCACAACGTCATATTACAGTTCGAGAGATCCTCTACACTACGCATATCTTTTTAACGCTTGAAACCCTTTGGAAGTGTCTTAAAATACTCTTTGAATATTGATATTTTTGTCCAATAAATTTCATTTTTTGGTCGAATAACAGGGTCGAACTTTTTTTAATAAACATATTTCGGTTGAAAAACAAGGCCGAACTTTTTATCTTAAATTTTTTTCGACTGAAGTAACATGGTCGAACTTTTTTTATTAAAATTATTTCGGTCGAAAAACAGGATCGAACTTTATTTATTAAAATTTTTTCGGTCGAAGAACAGGGTCAAACTTTTTTTGTTGAAATTTTTTTCGGTCGAAGAACATGGTCGAATTTTTTGGTGATTTTCTCAAGAACGAAAAGGACTACAAAAAAAGAACTTCATATTTTTGATCCTGGAAAAAATCTCTACAAAATGACATATTTCCTGACAAACGACAAAAATTCCATAAAAAATTTAAAGAAAAGATTTTGTTATAAAAAAGTCAAAAGATTTCTCTTTTTTATGTCAAATGCAGGTTTCACTAAAATTATAAATAGTGAAACGGTTAATACCAACAAAATAAGTTACTAACATAATCGATGTAGAATTAAAGTATCTATCAGATTTAAAAATTTCAACTTTTAATTACGAACATAAAAAAAAATCTATTACCTTTTTTATGACGAAATATTATTCAACAAATGAACCTATTATTTCCAAAAATAATAGGAATTTTTAAATACTGTTTTCAGATTTTCATTAGTAATTTAGATTGGTCTATTTAAGTAATTATTTTCCCACAAAAAGTTTATTATATGCCAATAGCTTAATCTGTAATTGTGTTACTAGTTTACGATTCAGAGATTAATCGTAATTGAAAGTTCCATGCATAGCACGAGTACAATTCTTGTCGTGTTCTGCACTACCACACTGAAAGTATCAGTGTTTACAAACAAGCATGTTTTCTTATCTCGTGCAATTTTTATGCGATCGCCACACAGTTGGCTTGTGTACCACGTTAGTCTTATTTTTGTCGTCAGGTAATCTGCACGCATATTGTGCGCGATTGATGTGCGGGGTCCATACCACGCGGATTGTACCTACTCAGAGGTGAAGCGTGAGTGTTGTTCCGTCGGCCGTCGTATTGTTTTGGAATTATACGCGCATTTCATGTTTCATACATTGTGCATAATTAAGGTCCTTGCATTTTGTTGGATATGCCAAAAGTGTAAAATTTATTTTGCATCAAGGTATGTTCTCGCATTTCTGCAGCCATATTAATTAAAATCAAATCCATTATTTACTTTACTTATGTTTAATTCAACCACGAGGTTTTTAAGCACACAAATAATTTTTGTTTCTGTTTCAATATCTACCGTTGATTTGCATTACACAACTATTCCACCTTTTAATTCCTAAATATAAAAAGAAACGCGGTTGGCTAGTGTAGCACGTTTGTCTCATTTTTGTCGTCAGGTGATGTGCACACAGATTTTCTTCATTTTTCTTGAGTTCCTTAATTTATTTTCGCGTTGTTACGTAATAATTTTGAATGCTTTTTGGATTGTGCGCGCGTGATGTGCGGCTTCGTTAAATACGGATTGCACCTTTACTGTGGCAAAAATTGTTAGCTGTTGATATTTTGTAATTGTCATGTAACTATTGTTAAATGTCAATAAAACACAATGTATAATTATAATCTCATTCATATTTCTTTGTGGTATCCTTTTTGTCGTTTTCAGTTTAAAATAATATGGCATATAAGTCTTATGTGTGAGTAGCGGGTATAAGATAACTAACAGTTACTTGAATTGTGTTGTTGTTTTTAAAAATATGATAAAAGTAGAAACATAAATAGAAGAATCAAATAACAACAATAAAAACACTCGGTGGTCGAGTGGAGACGTGCACCTGCTGGCATGCTAGCAGACACGGATCGAATCTCAGGTATGGAGGGCATTTTTCTCAAATATAAAAATATCAGGTGTAATTTGGGTTGCATATATGAATTGCAACGAAATATAAGAGAAATTGAAATACAAGTGAAGGCAATATGAGAATAAATAAGAAAGCAAGTGGAGAAATGGAAGAAGAAGGAAGGAGTAGTAGAGAATGGGAGAAGATAGAAGGAAGAAAACAGAGAGTAGAGTAGAGTAGAGAAGAGGAGGAGATAGAAGAAAGACAACAGGGGAGGATCAGATTTTTAAATTTTTTGGCACGTGTCGTTATAAGACAGTCTACGGTCGATCTCCCAGAGCGCCTCCGGCGCTCTGGTCGATCGCCCACTGCTTCGGTCCGTCCATTGCTCCCGGCCCAACCTACAGCTACGATGTCTCTGCGCTTCATCCCCGAAATTATCAGGCATATCAACAATTTTTATGGTGGGGGATCACCCCCAGAGAGAGGGAACTCCTTATAAGGACAATCCTTATAAAGTCTTGTAAAAATATTTCTAAGTTTTAAGTCGTCTCAAGAGAGACGACACTTAAAAATATACATACAAGTTCTGACCTGTAGCTGAAATGAAAGAAGGAGTACACAAATCATACAGGTTACCTTAACAATTTTTATAGAGGGGATCATCCCCTGAGGGAACTCTCTTAGAGACCTGTTCCTGAAATGATAGAAGGCGAACACACAAATCAAAGAAGTCAATATATCTTACTATTTCTTTATTAACAATAGAATACAAGTTTTGATTTTACAAGTCAACAAAATACATGCCGCCATATTGACACAGAACTTACGACCTGCATCGTCGCGGCGCACATATAAGCAAGTAACACGTCAAAATGTTCTACAGGGATAAAGGAATTAGCAAATTGCTCATTTTCTAGGTGGTGGAAAATGGTAACAAATATACAGGGCGTTACAAAAAGAAAATTCAAAGTGCAAAAAGTTAAATTCTAATAACAATCAAAGCTAAATTTTCAGGTATGTGAAGGAAAACGGTTATACAAGGTGTCACAAAAAGAAAATTCAATCATTAAAGAGGAATAATCTAAACACTACAAATATTGCTCGTTTTCACCCGATGCTCCGGGAAACTAACAAACAGGGCGTTACAAAAAAATTAGAGTGCAAGAAGAAAGTCTTAAAATCACAGCTGAAGAAAAAAAAAACAAAAACTACTTTTTATCTACTTTTAATATTTCTCGACATAAGAAAAGAATATATTGGTTTTGGGATGCAATAAGGATGAGGAAAAACAGAAATTTGTAATTCACCAATACAAATAAATAATTTATTGTCTTTTAATTTAAATAATCTCTATAAAATAAAGTATTAAAGTCGGAAAAATAAAAAGGGAAAAAATTCATAACAAAAAAATACAAATCGCGGTACGGCCCCTTTTTCCCAGTTTTTTCCAATTCCGAATAGCACAATTTATATTTTATAATTTATGTATACGACTCACTACCGCTACCTTCGAACGGTGCCCTGAACACGAGTAATTTCTATCGCTACCCTGCTACGGTAAACCGAATGAGACTCAACTACATCAACAAAAAAAATTAACAAAACCCTTCTTGCGCTATCAGAAGCCGATAAAAAATTTAAACATTTCCGTTTTCCATATTACCAAATAAAACATATACGATCTCCCTAATTCGCGAGCTATTGCAACACTCAGGTGAAAAGCCTTAAAACATTTAACCGAATAATATAACTTAATTATAAACTTACCAATACAGCGCTCTTCGGATCGCAAGGGTATGGCAAGTACTGTAATTAAAAGAAAACAGTTAAAACAGAAAGATTTTATCCAATATGACAATATTATATTCACACATGGGAGAAACAAAAAAAAAATAGGATCTGATCGCAGCGTCTTAATCTACGGACCAATCTCTATCAGATAGGATAGCTAAAAGGGAAATCTGAGAGATGAAATTTTAAGTCTTAAGAAAAAATTGCCAAGGGGGGGTGCTTGATACTTTTTTTCGACGATTTTCAAAAATTCATATCTCTTAAACTAAAAGAGATAGCTACCACCGAATTATTGATTATGAAAGATTGGAACATTCGCTATTAGATAAAAATATAAAATAATTATATTTGCTACAGTAACAGGTCGAAAAACGCGACAAAAAGTGCTAAAAAGTGACATTTATCAATTTTTGCCCATTTTATTCAATCGCGAATATCTCGTAAACTAAAAGAGATAAATAGGATCTGATCGCAGCGCCTTAATCTACGGATCAATCTCTAACAGATAGGATAGTTAAAAGGGAAATCTGAGAGATAAAATTTTAAGTCTTAAGAAAAAATTGCCAAGGGGGGGTGCTTGATACTTTTTTTCGACGATTTTCAAAAATTCATATCTCTTAAACTAAAAGAGATAGCTACCAACGAATAGTTGATTATGAAAGATTGGAACATTCTCTATCAGATAAAAATATAAAATAATTATATTTGCTACAGTAACAGGTCGAAAAACGCGACTAAAAGTGCTAAAAAGTGACATTTATCAATTTTTGCCCATTTTATTCAATCGCGAATATCTCGTAAACTAAAAGAGATAAATAGGATCTGATCGCAGCGTCTTAATCTACGGACCAATCTCTATCAGATAGGATAGTTAAAAGGGAAATCTGAGAGATGAAATTTTAAGTCTTAAGAAAAAAATTGCCAAGGGGGGGTGCTTGATACTTTTTTTCGACGATTTTCAAAAATTCATATCTCTTAAACTAAAAGAGATACCTACCACCGAATTATTGATTATGAATGATTGGAACATTCTCTATTGGATAAAAATACAAAATAATTATATTTGCTACAGTAACAGGTCGAAAAACGCGACTAAAAGTGCTAAAAAGTGACATTTATCAATTTTTGCCCATTTTATTCAATCGCGAATATCTCGTAAACTAAGAGAGATAATTAAGATCTGATCGCAGCGTCTTAATCTACGGACTAATCTCTATCAGATAGGATAGTTAAAAGGGAAATCTGAGAGATGAAATTTTAAGTCTTAAGAAAAAATTGCCAAGGGGGGGTGCTTGATACTTTTTTTCGACGATTTTCAAAAATTCATATCTCTTAAACTAAAAGAGATAGCTACCAACGAATTGTTGATTATGAAAGATTGGAAAATTCTCAATCAGATAAAAATATACAATAATTATATTTCCTACGGTAAATGGTCGAAAAACGCGACTAAAAGTGCTAAAAAGTGACATTTTGCAATTTTTGCCCATTTTATTCAATCGCGAATATCTCGTAAACTAAAAGAGATAATTAAGATCTGATCGCAGCGTCTTAATCTACGGACTAATCTCTATCAGATAGGATAGTTAAAAGGGAAATCTGAGAGATGAAATTTTCAATCTTAAGAAAAAAATTGCCAAGGGGGGGTGCTTGATACTTTTTTTCGACGATTTTCAAAAATTCATATCTCTTAAACTAAAAGAGATACCGACCAACGAATTGTTGATTATGAAAGATTGGAAAATTCTCAATCAGATAAAAATATACAACAATTATATTTCCTACGGTAAATGGTCGAAAAACGCGACTAAAAGTGCTAAAAAGTGACATTTTGCAATTTTTGCCCATTTTATTCAATCGCGAATATCTCGTAAACTAAAAGAGATAATTAAGATCTGATCGCAGCGTCTTAATCTACGGACTAATCTCTATCAGATAGGATAGTTAAAAGGGAAATCTGAGAGATGAAATTTTCAATCTTAAGAAAAAAATTGCCAAGGGGGGGTGCTTGATACTTTTTTTCGACGATTTTCAAAAATTCATATCTCTTAAACTAAAAGAGATAGCTACCAACGAATTGTTGATTATGAAAGATTGGAAAATTCTCAATCAGATAAAAATATACAACAATTATATTTCCTACAGTAAATGGTCGAAAAACGCGACTAAAAGTGCTAAAAAGTGACATTTTGCAATTTTTGCCCATTTTATTCAATCGCGAATATCTCGTAAACTAAGAGAGATAATTAAGATCTGATCGCAGCGTCTTAATCTACGGACTAATCTCTATCAGATAGGATAGTTAAAAGGAAATCTGAGAGATGAAATTTTCAATCTTAAGAAAAAAATTGCCAAGGGGGGGTGCTTGATACTTTTTTTCGACGATTTTCAAAAATTCATATCTCTTAAACTAAAAGAGATAGCTACCAACGAATTGTTGATTATGAAAGATTGGAAAATTCTCAATCAGATAAAAATATACAATAATTATATTTCCTACAGTAAATGGTCGAAAAACGCGACTAAAAGTGCTAAAAAGTGACATTTTGCAATTTTTGCCCATTTTATTCAATCGCGAATATCTCGTAAACTAAAAGAGATAATTAAGATCTGATCGCAGCGTCTTAATCTACGGACTAATCTCTATCAGATAGGATAGTTAAAAGGAAATCTGAGAGATGAAATTTTCAATCTTAAGAAAAAATTGCCAAGGGGGGGTGCTTGATACTTTTTTCGACGATTTTCAAAAATTCATATCTCTTAAACTAAAAGAGATAGCTACCAACGAATTGTTGATTATGAAAGATTGGAAAATTCTCAATCAGATAAAAATATACAACAATTATATTTCCTACGGTAAATGGTCGAAAAACGCGACTAAAAGTGCTAAAAAGTGACATTTTGCAATTTTTGCCCATTTTATTCAATCGCGAATATCTCGTAAACTAAGAGAGATAATTAAGATCTGATCGCAGCGTCTTAATCTACGGACTAATCTCTATCAGATAGGATAGTTAAAAGGGAAATCTGAGAGATGAAATTTTCAATCTTAAGAAAAAAATTGCCAAGGGGTGCTTGATACTTTTTTCGACGATTTTCAAAAATTCATATCTCTTAAACTAAAAGAGATAGCTACCAACGAATTGTTGATTATGAAAGATTGGAAAATTCTCAATCAGATAAAAATATACAACAATTATATTTCCTACGGTAAATGGTCGAAAAACGCGACTAAAAGTGCTAAAAAGTGACATTTTGCAATTTTTGCCCATTTTATTCAATCGCGAATATCTCGTAAACTAAAGAGATAATTAAGATCTGATCGCAGCGTCTTAATCTACGGACTAATCTCTATCAGATAGGATAGTTAAAAGGGAAATCTGAGAGATGAAATTTTCAATCTTAAGAAAAAAATTGCCAAGGGGTGCTTGATACTTTTTTCGACGATTTTCAAAAATTCATATCTCTTAAACTAAAAGAGATAGCTACCAACGAATTGTTGATTATGAAAGATTGGAAAATTCTCAATCAGATAAAAATATACAACAATTATATTTCCTACGGTAAATGGTCGAAAAACGCGACTAAAAGTGCTAAAAAGTGACATTTTGCAATTTTTGCCCATTTTATTCAATCGCGAATATCTCGTAAACTAAAAGAGATAATTAAGATCTGATCGCAGCGTCTTAATCTACGGACTAATCTCTATCAGATAGGATAGTTAAAAGGGAAATCTGAGAGATGAAATTTTCAATCTTAAGAAAAAAATTGCCAAGGGGGGGTGCTTGATACTTTTTTCGACGATTTTCAAAAATTCATATCTCTTAAACTAAAAGAGATAGCTACCAACGAATTGTTGATTATGAAAGATTGGAAAATTCTCAATCAGATAAAAATATACAACAATTATATTTCCTACAGTAAATGGTCGAAAAACGCGACTAAAAGTGCTAAAAGTGACATTTTGCAATTTTTGCCCATTTTATTCAATCGCGAATATCTCGTAAACTAAAAGAGATAATTAAGATCTGATCGCAGCGTCTTAATCTACGGACTAATCTCTATCAGATAGGATAGTTAAAGGGAAATCTGAGAGATGAAATTTTCAATCTTAAGAAAAAAATTGCCAAGGGGGGGTGCTTGATACTTTTTTCGACGATTTTCAAAAATTCATATCTCTTAAACTAAAAGAGATAGCTACCAACGAATTGTTGATTATGAAAGATTGGAAAATTCTCAATCAGATAAAAATATACAACAATTATATTTCCTACGGTAAATGGTCGAAAAACGCGACTAAAAGTGCTAAAAAGTGACATTTTGCAATTTTTGCCCATTTTATTCAATCGCGAATATCTCGTAAACTAAGAGAGATAATTAAGATCTGATCGCAGCGTCTTAATCTACGGACTAATCTCTATCAGATAGGATAGTTAAAAGGAAATCTGAGAGATGAAATTTTCAATCTTAAGAAAAAAATTGCCAAGGGGGGGTGCTTGATACTTTTTTTCGACGATTTTCAAAAATTCATATCTCTTAAACTAAAAGAGATAGCTACCAACGAATTGTTGATTATGAAAGATTGGAAAATTCTCAATCAGATAAAAATATACAATAATTATATTTCCTACAGTAAATGGTCGAAAAACGCGACTAAAAGTGCTAAAAAGTGACATTTTGCAATTTTTGCCCATTTTATTCAATCGCGAATATCTCGTAAACTAAGAGAGATAATTAAGATCTGATCGCAGCGTCTTAATCTACGGACTAATCTCTATCAGATAGGATAGTTAAAAGGGAAATCTGAGAGATGAAATTTTCAATCTTAAGAAAAAAATTGCCAAGGGGGGGTGCTTGATACTTTTTTTCGACGATTTTCAAAAATTCATATCTCTTAAACTAAAAGAGATAGCTACCAACGAATTGTTGATTATGAAAGATTGGAAAATTCTCAATCAGATAAAAATATACAATAATTATATTTCCTACAGTAAAAGGTCGAAAAACGCGACTAA